GCAACCTGCGTTTTGGCCTATATCGATATATCGAAATATCGATGGTTGGAAAGGGAGGTAGGCGTGGCCAAAACGCAGGTTGCAAGAATTTATCCACCAAAAAGGAAGAAGCTCTTACTATTTTAGGTAGACTATACACTACCGTCCGAAATTGTGCGAACGCTTACACCGCGAGTCATTGAAAAACTTACTCGCGTGAAAATAAAGATAACTCTGACAGAAATTAGCGTAGAGACTTCTCCCTTATAGCGTTGGAAAGCTTATGAAATTTCGAAAAAAATGATTCCTATTTGAATGAGATTGCTTTAATAGGTTTAAATATATCATGTTACAAAGTTGAAAAAATAATTGTAATTTTTTGCTTATTACCTACCTTGCCTTTAACCTCTTGCATGGTCCAGGAAAATCGACGAAAAAAATTGTCCGTTAATATAATTATTCCTTGAAATCTAAGCTTTCCATTGATTCCAAGAACAATAAAAAATGTTGACGGGTTTGCCAGTATGTAATTGAAAAAAAAGGACGAGCGTGCACGAAAAAAAATTCGACCGTCAATCGCTCGATTTTCCCGTCTCGCTGCCTCTTTCGTTCGTGCGCCAGGGCCGAAACAGAGAATTTTGATTAGGCGCTTTCCGGGCACCATTAATTTCATTATTTTTTCCTTTTTGTGAACATAAATTATTTGTATAACGCGAAAAATATCATAATTGTGTTATAAGTTAATTATACAGTTATTAAAATTAAATAAATGTAATAAAACTTATATATTTCATGATTAAAAAATTCAATTTGAAAAACTTATACAATGTTCTTGGAAATTGAATTTTATGTTTTCAAATTATTTTTTTTTACAGTCAACAATCGAACATATAAATTTATTTTTAAATAGTACATTATGTTAACTTAACATCACCGGAATATTAGATTGCATAGTTATGATATTACGCTATAATATGTCGGCTAAAAATGACATTTCTATTATTTATTGAAGATTTTGTAAAAATTAAAATATATTTATAATCATTAAACAATTTATTATTAAGAATCAAAAACCTCGTTGGTCAAATTGAATTTTTTAATAATGAAATATATAAGTTTTATTACATTTATTTAATTTTAATAACTGTATAATTAACTTATAACACAATTATGATATCTTTCGCGTTATACAAATAATTTATGTTCACAAAAAGGCAAAAATAATGAAATTAATGGTGCCCGGAAAGCGCCTAATCAAAATCCTCTGTTTCGGCCCTGGTGCACGAACGAAAGAGGCAGCGAGACGGGAAAATCGAGCGATTGACGGTCGAATTTTTTTTCGTGCACGCTCGTCCTTTTTTTCAATTACATACTGGCAAACCCGCCAACATTTTTTATTGTTCTTGGAATCAATGGAAAGCTTAGATTTCAAGGAATAATTATGTTAAAGGAGAATTTTTTTCGTCGATTTTCCTGGACCATGCAAGAGGTTAAAGTCAAGGTAGGTAATAAGCAAAAAATTACAATTATTTTTTCAACTTTGTAACATGATATATTTAAACCTATTTAAGCAATCTCATTCAAATAGGAATCATTTTTTTCGAAATTTAATAAGCTTTCCAACGCTATAAGGGAAAAGTCTCTACGTTAATTTCTCTCAGAGTTATCTTTATTTTCACGCGAGTATGTTTTTCAATGACTCGCGGTGTAAGCGTTCGCACAATTTCGGACGGTAGTGTATGTCGTACTTCGAGGGCATCAATTTTATGCTTTTAAAGTACGTCACTATTACTATAAGAGTATTCCCATTATACTTATTTAGTATGTACTTACTTTAAACTAAAAAAGCATTATTTCATACTTTAATAGGTTAGCCAAATTATATACTATTAAATGATAAAGCACCAGTTTGGTGCTAAAATAGTTAATTTGTTATTTCCGTGTATGAGTGAGATTATTTTATTAATTGTTATTTTTTTAAAAACAATTTTTCTAATAAATAGTGTACTAAAAAGTGTTGGATTTTACTGTTGTTTTGCCATTGGCCAAAATCCTAAATTCAGATTATTTTATGCACACGTGCAAGGCTCGGCAGATACGTCATTTAAATTGGATAAACGACCCCATACAAATTAAACAGAATTTATTAAGATTTTCTTTAATCTTTTCCGCATTTTATCTTATGAAAATCCTAGCAGCTTGGTGCCTCGTCTAACCTAAAAAAAATTGGCTTTATCTCAAAAGATCACTATTTTAAATTATTTGAATTTTACAGTTTAATAACTTTTAACAACAATTGCTTGGGTTCGTAACAAGCTGATGGTGGCAGCGGTGGTGTATTTCCTACGTAGCTGACAGCCACGTTACTTTTGTAACGAAAAATTGTTACTGTAATGTGTTACTTCATAACGCATCAATTTTCGCTTGTTTAAAAATTTTTTTTTCCTTTTTGCTTTGTTTTTTTGTTTGACGTACAATCTGCTATTTCAAAAAAAATACTTTGCAAGTAATTTTCTTATTACGATGACCTTAATAGTTTTTCTTCTTGAAGTTGCATTGGTGTATATTTTGTATTGCATTTTTCTCACACGTTTATCAGTGAAATTTTCGAGATTATATTTCAGATAAATTGCCTTAGTTTTGATATTAGAAGGGAAAGTATATTCTTTTAATTAACACGGAACTTAAGAAAAAATTAATCGGAAATTACTTCGAATTAATTTTCTACTGACTAGGAGTGAAGAGTATGTAACGACCCTATCTAGCTGCAGAAAAAAAGATTTTGGCTCTCCTAAGGGATAATGACGTAATTTCCAACAGTCAGTAGTTGGGAGCTGTAGAAATTCACAGAATTGGAAGAAAAATCTTTTTCTCTTGTTGGAGACTCGGAGGATAGCGCCAGGCTATTCATCGTGGATTTTTTTAAATAGAATAAATTTTTATTAAAAACGAAATAGACCAAAAATAAAAGACCCTTGCAAAGGATAAGTTTAGTACCTTTTAAAGATTATTTCAAGAAACCTCTGAACTCGTGGGAAAAATTTTCATACTATTTTGAATGCCTGTTAAACAGAGCAGAAGTTTAAATTAACTGCGTACAGGGACATCCATCCCAGGTTGGAAAAATTCAGTAAGGATAGAAAAACGTCAGGAAATTCGTCACTCGTAATTTTTTTTCTCTCTAAAGAAAAGGAATATTTTTTTATTTGGGCCCTTTTGAGACTATATTTGTTCAATTTACCACAATGAATTTTCGCAATGACCATCCCGGAAAATGACTCACCAACCATCGTGGTAAACTCAGAAAATCTTATTTGGAAAAAATTACACTCATAGTTACAAATTATTTTAATAAGAATAACAGAAATCACAGAAACAACTTTTTAAAAATGCGTATTTTTTACTTACCTATAGTCAGTATTACCAATTTAAAATCGAAGTAAAAAAACTTTGTCGAAATGGTATATACATAATACAAAAAAGATTTTATCTTTACAAACTCTTAGAATGATTAAAATCACTCATAAATTTTTTTCTAAACAAGAACAATTAATTTAAAATGTTTTTATCAAACACAAGTTTTAAGAATCAGAAAGTCTAAAAAATTTTATTTTCATTTTAATAAAATTGAAATTTTTTCACTTTTTTTCTCAATAAAAATCAAAGAGGAGCAGTTTTGATTATCTCCCTACTGTTAATTACCATATGAGATCCTTTATAAGATCGCTTATGGTTTTTTATATGTTATTCTATACGAAATCTTATAAGGACATCTGGTAAGAATCACACCAGTGGCCATACAGGATTCCATATAGGATCTTATATGGGGTCAATTTGTAAATATCTCAAAAACGGTAAGAGATACGCAAAATCGGACAAAATTTTGAGTTTATTATATGCAAAGCAAAAACATTTTGTGTTTAAAACCTAAAATATGTCTCATGTTTTTTTTAAAAAATAACTATTAAATTCCCATGTAGGATCCTATGTAAGATCTCATATAAAATTCTATATGGACACTCATGAAATTTTTCTCATGAGTTTCCATATAGGATTCTCGTAAGATCTCGTGTAGTATCTCATATGAGAAACCATAAGTGATCTTATACGTGATCTCATACGGGAATTTACAATAGAGCGCTTTACGATTTTTGGACAATTCTAATCAAAACGAAAAATCTCTCGCGTTTAACTTTCATCGTCATTTTAGACAAGCCAATCGATATTGGTTTCAAAAAATATAACAGGTTTTCGGATCTTTCCAGAAAATGATGCAAATTCGGTCTCATTTTGATACCTTATTATCAAAACGTTGCAACCCGAAATAAGACTTTTTAAGAAACTGTGAAATAAACAATAATTTAAGAGATAAAATATTTTTAATAGAGTATGTCCATTAAATGGATTTTTTGCATAATGAATCTAAGATATATTAATCTATGCATAGTGAAGACGTAACTTTATCAGTGTGTGTAGGTTTTCTACTTAATTTACACATGATAGGTTAAAATTTCTAACCGAAACCGATACTTTAAAATCCAAAAGAAAATTTGAAGTGTTTTGACATTTGGGTTAAATTTTTTCATGCGTACCGTGTTAAGTTGTAAAAGTTTAAAAATTTTCTATTTATTATTCTAGATTATGTAGGGTGTCAAAGACATTAGTACTATAATAAAAAAATGGATTATAGATTTTTTAAAATTGTTTCCGGTGTTATAATCGCTTTAAAAAGTAAAAAGAAATTCTTGATATACATTCAGACACAGAGTTTTAACAGCTTTCCATCCATCTAAGTTTAAAGTCTCTAACTTTTTTCTAATTTGAAATATCTTGCTTTAAAGACAGCATCAAATTTCTACTCTACGCACGTCCAGCGTACCGAAAATTTATGACGATTCTGTATAATATACTATAAATATATGTGTAATTAAATATTTTACTTTAATGTAAAAATATATTTATTCTCACTGGTTTAGTTACCAGAAATATTATTAAAATTTATAATAATCTTAAGTTATAACCTGTCTGCCATATCCATTACTTCGTCACTATAAGGATAATGACTCGTTCTGTAAGCATTAGCACCAATCCATTGTAGCAGTTCATAATCTCTGGTCATTGTTACTAAATCAAGTCCACGTCCTCTTATAGCTGAATCTTCATGTCTACCAAATCCGCGAAGATATAATTTCTTATTATTTAGAAGAAGACTAGTATTGGTCCACTGTAAAGTTCTAATACCAACGGGTAACCTGTAAATATCTGACTTTGTGTTATTTGGAACAGATAAAGTAACCTAAAACAAAAAAATGAGAAAATTTTTATTTTCAATATTTTCCTTAATCTCATTAAAATAATGTAGATTTGCATTACCTCTAAAGTGTATAAATATCCCGGATTTGAATCCATATTTATAGGCCACCAAAGTTTTGCATGAGATACTTTTAAAGTACCCTTCATTTCATAAACTGGTTCCTTGATTGCTAATGAATTTTCTGCATCTAAAAGTCTAACTCTGCAGGCAGTCATTTCTTTCTCTTTCATCCCAGTTGCCTTAATAACATATTTTACAATTCCCATTTGTCCTACTATTCCTGTCTTTACTGTTATATCTTCAATATATACCCGTGGCTTTGTGTGTAATAATACTGGCCTAATAATAATATAGATTATTTTAAAATACTAAATTTTTTAAAATGTAATTAATAATAATATAAAATTTGCAGTTTAAAACTAAAAATATAATATTTTATTCCTTTGAGGGGCACGTTCTAGAAAGTGGTTTTTTTTCTTGCAACCTTTTGGCATTAGTCAAAACCCCCTACAGCCTACAATTTTAAACATAAACAATATTTTTAAAAGAGATCTCTGTAGCCGTATATTAAAAATATTTTGTTAAACATTTAGAATGCCTAAACAAATTATATGGTATTTTGTTATACAATTCAAATTATTGAAATCAATTCATATGCACGTTTTTCCTTAGTGTATGTAAGCTGTGAAGCTTGGGTTAAAAAATATCGAAAAATTATAAATAGTATTTAAATATTAAAAATGATAAGTAAAATGAGTAAATCTTAAATTTACTTAAAGTAATCAGAGAAGTTTAAAATTATCTTTTTACTTGAGATTTAAACATTATATACCTTCAGCTATACTTTTATAAACAGGTTGAGAACCATTTCGTGCTCACAGATTAGAACTCTCATAGGCAGAATCTAGAAAAGACCTTTTGTTTTGGTGTCGTTATTCAAAGCTGCGTCAACAACGGGGAAAAAAATGTGTAGCGTTCGTGTAGTGTTGGCCTCTGTATATATGTATAACAATTTTTGAACAGAGTTAGGGTACATCTATGATTGAGGTTATGTTTTGACGGCAATTAATATGAAAAATTTTAACTATTGGTATATTCTTTTCTCATTAAGAATTAACATTTTAAGTGGTACCCGTCATCTATGGGAGCATTTTTCGTGTCTTTGCCGATAGTTATCTAAAATTGTGTTCTGAAAAGGTTTTTATCTTTTTCTATTTAGGTCATTTTCACTAATTTGTGCAAAGTGATCACAATGTTTATTGCATAAAAATTAGCATGAACATTCGATGTATTAATTTTTCTATGACTATTTTGAAAATGTAGAAAATGGGAAGTTGTGACTCACATCATATTCAACAGTTTTTAATACGCACTCTCTGTTTTTATTTTGCATTATTTATTAATAATTGCTGTTTTATGCATTTTAAATATTTTTCTTTAGTGAAATGAGACTTTTTACATCTTTATTCACTATAATTACATGCGTAACAATTCTTAAAATTTCGAAAAAGTTTTGAAGTATTAAATACACGTGTAATTAAGGAGGGAAACTCGTGTAAATGTACTTTTTTCAAGAATTTAAAAAAAACTGGTGAAGTTTATTGAATTAAATTAAAGCATTCCTCAAAGTACACAATATAAGCTTTGTTAAAAAATTTTATTCATTAAAAATATTACTAAATGGAGGTGTTACAGGTGTTTGAAGTTGCATCTTTGATTTTGCGCCGTGCAACCTACAGGTAACAAGTTTCAACTAAAATTAAAATTTTCACCGTTAAAATAAGTAACTATGCTTTGCAAGACCAATAAAAAACTAAAAAAAATTTTTTTTGAAAATTTGGGACCATTTTGAAAGAAAATCACTTTTATTTTTTAAACAATGTTTAAAAGCAATTAAACTATTGCACTAAAACAAAGATTTACTATTAATTGTTTATGGTTCTTGCTAATGACAATTAATAAAATTATATTGACAATAAACCGAAAGAATAGAGGCATCTCGTGCTCATATTTAACTGCATTTGGTAGAATCTGAAGTGCTAAACTTATGATTACTATAGACATTCATACATCTAATTATATATTAGTAATGTAGGATCCTATTCTACATATAGTAAACTAATTTCTACACGGAGAGAAAAATGCAGCATTTGTAGCATGAAAGTTCTACCTTTAAACGCATGGGACATCAGCATACTACGATTGCACAAAGTTATACTTTTTCGGTATAGTTTTATGCAACTGTAGTATAAGACCACGCCTCTTAAGCAGGAACGTCCATACAAAATTAACATAGAGGGCTCCCATACTACAAACGCTTAATTTTTCTCTCCGTGTAAAGCAAAAAAAAGTTGTATAAAAATTTTGTTTTACACGAGTTTTCCCCCTTAAACGTAGAGTTTCAGTAACAAATTTAAATCAAAGTATCGATTACACGTGTCATTAAACGTGATACAAGTTCATAAAATTTTCGAGAAATATCAATAGGATATTCGCTAATAGGTCGAAAGATGCGCCTTGAAAAACTCTACAAAACTAGAAATAAATATCGATTGGTGTCAATACATTTTTTTAAAGCTATGGGCAAAAAACGATTTTTTAAAAATTTAAAAATGCAAGAAAATAATAGTAAATCTTTATTAATACTGCTCAAAATACTTTCATTATTTGATCTACACTCAAAAAAAGTTAATTGAATCCAGTAAATGCATTTACTTTAGGTACTTTACTTGAAACAAGACGATATTTTCTTATTGGAACAAATTTATTTTCTTGAGTCAAGTAATTTTGAGCATTGAGCAATGTTCTTGAAATAAGAAAATATGAGTTTCATACAAGTAAATATATCTTACTGTTTCAAGCGAACTGTTTTACCTGCGCCAAGAACCGAAAAAGTTTTGAGTCAAGAATATTATTTTCTCATGTCAACTGATTTACGTTGAGTATTTTATTTTCTTGGGTCAAGTCGTTTTGTTGTTTTTTTTCAAAATAACATTTTGCTTAATCTAACAATCATAGTCTTGATCCAAGAAAATGGAAAGATAAATAGAAGTAGATATTTGTTTCAACTTGATTAAAAAATATATTGTTTGAATTAAACATTAATCAATCCAAGTGTTTAATATACTTGAAGCATTTTCATATTATATTTTTTCAACAACATTCAATTTCTAGAAATAATATTATATTATATAATCATGAATGAAATCATTCTTTTGTTACCTTAAAAATATTTTTTATTTAATTCAACGCTAATATAGTCTTGAGTCAAGAAAATGCGAATATTAATATAAGTAAATACTTGTTTTAACTTGATTAACATATGGATATGAAACTTAAATAGGAGTTTTTGAACATCGTCAATTGAGTCAGGATGGCATAATGGTCTACGTTACTGCTTCTGGTGCGCGCAACCCGGGTTCAGTTCCTCGGACACTGAAAAATTTGTATTTTGTTATACTTGTTATACTTGTTTTAATCGTGTTACGTATTAATTAAATATAAATATGTATGTAAAATAAACATTATTTAAATAAATAATACAAAATATGAATGTTAATAATAATAAATCAAAATGTTTGACTTAATAATTAGACATGGTGCGATGAGGAAGGGGTGTAATTCAAGTTAATATTTACTTGTATTGGAAAATATTTGTTTGGTTGAACTCCATAAGTTTTCTCAAGTAAAAAAAAACATTTTCTTGATTTGATATATATATATACACACACATATATTGGCGATTCCACGTCAAATTTACAATCAAATTTTTAATTCGGCCAAAAACATTTTTTCTTCATTCCTTATTGAAACAAAAGGATACGTATTTTTTTTTTTATGGCCAAATTTTCTCACTATGAATTTTTAAAATTTTAGATTTTCAAAAGTAGACTTATTTTCAATCACATGTATCTTTTAAACTATCAACTTTAGAAAAATTTTGCTAAGAGAAAAAAAGTTTAGTTTTTTCACGACTTTTAAATAATTTAAACAAAAAAAAAGAATTTTGAATTTTTATAAAAAAAATATTAGTTTTTTATAAACAAATTAATGTTTTTTACATTTGTGCCCGATTTTTTTTCGTATACCTACCTAGAAGTGTTAAGAAGACTTTAGAAAAAGTTTCAGAGTGGGCCTGATAAGTTTAATAAGTTTAAATAAATATTTAAACTCGGATTGCAAGCTTAATGCGCGCGCGGTGCTTTGTGAGTATATCTAGTTTGAAAAGAAATTGTCTTTAAGAGGCATTTTATATTTTTTTAACTTGTTACATCTGTTTATTACAAAACGGATTTGTTAAAACTTTAAATATAAACATATTTAAACATTTCAATTGTTTATACGATTAATTAAATAGTTAGATTAATGAATTTTTGTTTTATTCAATTTTTACATATCACAATATTCGAAAAGAATTGTTTTTCAAATATTGTCACACAAACACATATAATAATAAGCATAAAAGGAAAAAAAAGTTATAATTATTTTTAAAATATAATAGGTATTTTAAAAAAACATTTTGAATCTACAGTATAGAACGGTTAATCGGATAAATGATAAAATAAACGAATTTTCGATTTATAAAGTAATTATTTAAGTATTTATTTTTAATTATTTGATACGATAAATTGACGTAATTTCGTATTTTACATTCCTCAAAAATATTGTCGTTTTGCGTATTTGAGGATTTTGAAAAAATGTTTATATGAATCATTTTAATTATTTTTAAACAGAAAATTTATTTATATTGACTTTAAGAGTTTTAATTTTGTATAAGTCTGTTTTATATAAATAAATACTTAAATAATTACTTTATAAATCGAAAATTCTTTTATTTTTTCATTTATCCGATTAACCGTTATATACTGTAGATTCAAAATGTTTTTTTAAAATACCTATTATATTTTAAAAATAATTATAACTTTTTTTTAACTTTTGTGCTTATTATTATATGTGTTTTTGTGACAATATTTGAAAAACAATTCTTTTCGAATATTGTGATATGTAAAAATTGAATAAAACAAAAATTCATTAATCTAACTATTTAATTAATCGTATAAACAATTGAAATGTTTAAATATGTTTATATTTAAAGTTTTAACAAATCCGTTTTGTAATAAACAGATGTAACTAGTTAAAAAAATATAAAATGCCTCTTAAAGACAATTTCTTTTCAAACTAGATAGACTCACAAAGCACCGCGCGCGCATTAAGCTTGCAATCTGAGTTTAAATATTTATTTAAACTTATTAAACTTATCAGGCCCACTCTAAAACCTTTTCTAAAGTCTTCTTAACACTTCCAGGTAGGTATACGAAAAAAAAATCGGGCCCAAATGT